TAATCTTTATTAGGATGTGTCAAAAAAGAAAGAAAGAGCATATTTGGCTTTTTCTATAACATATATTTATCTTATATTATAAAACGTCCAAAATTATACAAGTGGAACGGTTGTGTCCTTAAAATATAAAAAATTGAAGAATATTTGAGTGGTTTTGGTGTCTTTGACATTTAAAAGTCTATCAGGGGCGGCGGCCGTTTTGCAATTTGCAAAACTTTCTTTTTTTTTCTTCTTTTAGTTGCAATCAACCCATTATCCATCCAGATTGATGGGAACAACTTCAAATCTTCCTTTTGACCATATTCTTCACTCCAGCAAATGTTAATTATAAAAAGAAAATTAAAAAAAAAAAAAAAAACTAGTTGTGTAATGTTGTATAAACAATTTTTTAACAGAAGAAAATTAGAGTAAATGATATTCTTAGACATCAACCATATAGATTATATTGCCTATAACTATATAAATCGAAAAGAATTACTAAAATTTATTCGATAATTAGGGTTAATAAAAAGCTGAATCAATTTAAATATGGTTTAAAAATTAATTTAATAATTAAATCGTTGACTTATATTCATAAATTAAATGAGTTGAAAATAAGTACAAAAAAAATTAAATTCATTAATTAAATAAATTAAATTTGAACTATACATACTTTGACATGTTAGATTTATGAGTCAATATAATTATATATAAATGAGATTATATTATCTTTAAGATTAAGTTTTAAAATATATTCTAAATTTTGACCCATAATCTAGCAATTTTAATTAATAATTTATATTGTCAAATAAGCAAAATATTTTTAAAAATAATTAAACAAATAAAATCAACATCATATAAATTATATTTTTAATAAAATAATTTAAAAATTAACATATATTTTCTAATTTAAAAAATGTCTTCTAAATTTATTTAAATATAAGAAAATCAAATATATATTCTTAACTTATTTTAATTTAATTTTTTTAAAAGAAAATCTACTTCATATAAAAATTTCCTTAAATTATAAAAAAAAACATATATGTTTAATTTGTTTTGAACTATTAAATTTTGGGATCACATACCTTTTATATTATTTTTAGAATTTATTTAATTAATTTAGATTCAAGGATTTAAATATGCAATATTTACTGATCTTATAACTTTTATTTTATTTCAGTATTTTCTTTTCAAATATATTAATTTAAAATATCAAATATATAATATAAAATAGTTTAAAAAAATGTCTTTTAAATTCGTGAAACAAGTAAATTGAATTTAAAGAGATGATAGGTAAATTATTTATATTTAGATCCTTGTTAGGTTCATCTCTTTAAATTCAATTTATTTGTTTCACGAATTTAAAAGACATTTTTTTAATTTATTTGACATCACCGTGATTGACCGTGATTTCAAATCCTTGAATCTAAATTAATTAAATTTAAAGAGATGAACCTAACAAGGATTTACCTATCAATCACGGTGATGTCAATTTACCTATCAATCACCTTGTTGCTCTCTGCCAATTTAACATATATTGAACAATTTTTATCAAAATCAAGTCACGCTTGAACCTTGATCTTACCACTTGCTTCCAATCACATTTTTGAGCTTTATTAGTCCAACAAACCCACATGTATGATTTTCAACCATATTTGACTCCACCTGCTTTCAAATGCCTCCGTGAAGGTCTCTATTTCTAAGCTTTACAACATTTCAGCCACATTCAAGACATAACATCCAAGGCCAACATAATTGTACCTTTGAGATGATATAATCTCCCCCATTACTTTATCATGGGTCAAATGGTAATAAAAAGCCTTTGTAATCGTTCTCTCGCTACTACTAGTATTCATAGTATGAACCTCCACCTCAAAATGAGTCTTCTTCCCCTTATGAGACTCATTGAATGTAATACATATGTGATTAAAAACTTTTATCATCAAGGTTTCACTTCCAACAACTCATAATTATTCCTACCTCTTAGATATCCATTGAAGACACAATCGAAAATAATCAGGTTAAATTGGTTTGATTTGTTCAAAAATCAAAGTTTAGACGACCTTCAAAATATAGTAGGTTAAAGTCTTCCTACCCCAAACCTTCATAAGTGTTTGGAAATCTATTCATGTAAATGAATACCTCCCTATCAGGTAAGTTGCTTTGGCATCAGACATACCTTGGAAACTCCAAGACAACTCAACAATCAAATGTGTATTTATCCCTTGTCTTTTGAAAAACTCATTAAACTACTCTGAAACAATCTTCAAACATCCATTATGCCTTGACCAAGAGCTCCATGGCTTGTTCTTTTCATAAAAGCCTTTACTAGTTGATGATAAATGAACATGAACATTAGAATATTCTAAAATATATAAGCCATAAATTTTATACCCTTTAGCAATGATCCCTTCACCACGTGAAATATTCAACACCTCATGTTCAAATCTAGTGCAATAGCCTAGATACACAAATATGTTTATGGATAATAAATTTTGCATGACCTCTTGAACATGCCTCATGTTGTGTAGAAAAAAAGTGTGATCATCGAACATTTTAAGTCTGGTTGTATCAATACCATGAACCTTGCAAGCCTTATTGTCACTGAGGACAACTAATCCACCTTACTTCAGCTCCAAAGTATCAAAGTATTCTTTTCTTTGATACATGTGATAAGGATAAACTGAGTCCATGACCTAACTCTTCTTAGTATCCAAACTCCAAAACCAGTAATACATCAACACTCTCATAATTATCCTCGTTAGAGGCACTAATATGAAGAAAATCATCATTGCCCTTCTTTCTGGGACAATCATTCATGAAGTGACATGTTTTAAGACAAGTGAAGCATTTTACCCTTGACGTGTCAAACCTCTTTACTTTGAACATCCCTTTACATTTACTTCCTTCTCTTGAGACACTCAAGTCTTCACCACTATTGTTAATAACAGTAGAAGATTTTCCTCATCGTCAATCTTCAGCTAAATATTCTCAAGATCATTAATAATCTTGTGAAATTTTGTGAGTTGCTCCACTATGGATATGTTCTCTACCACTCATAATGAGTGGAATTATTATTTCAGACACAACATGTGAGGCAAAGAATTGGCCATATACAATAATTCAAGTTTTATCCACATCAAAGTCACAATCTTCTCTCTGGAGACTTCCCTTAGAATTTTATCCTTGAGGCACAAGATAATTACACTTTTGGCCTTATTCAATATCTTGGTCTTTTTCTGTTTCTGTTAGGCGTGCAAGCATTGAGACATCACCCTTTAATGCTTTAATACATTTCTCTTAAGTTAACATTATTTGCATCTTCACTTGCCACAATTTAAAATTGTTATCTCTTGATAACCTCTTGATCTTCCATTTAGAATGCACGGTGCTCACTTTTAAACAAAACATCTTTGTCCTATGGTGTGTGTCACTTGTTATGGAATTAAAAGCTTTGATCACACCAAAAAAATTAATATGTGGGAACAAAGAACAATGGCAATCAAAATAAATGGCCTTCAGCAAATATAACTGTATATGCAATAAATCAACAACTTAACTTGGCAGGAAAAGATAAAAGATAAGAAACACAATAATTTATTTACCTAAATCAATCAACAATCTACTTTGGAGGAAAGAGCAACTCTCTGATTCACTTTACTTTCAAGAATTGTTACAAAATATTACAAATAGTCACCTAAGTTCTAAATAACAAACTCTATTTTCTGCTAAAATATTTTTAAATCTCTCTAACTCTTTATATATAAATGACACAAGGAAAAAACTTAACCCATTAACGAATGAATTCATGAAATAAAAAATAATGAAGCCCAATACACATGTACTGAGAAAGTTGGACTCAGACACTGATAGATCGAACTGCCCGCTAGACTTAGACCCATTGTCGCGTCGCCGCGGATTCCACCTCCAAATTGATTTCTAGTTTCTACGATCTCAAAATATGTTTCATTTCTCTGTTCACTTAAAATTCTAAGACATATTTAAACATTTACTTATAACAAATTAACAATAATCATGATTAGAACAAAATATTATAACCAATATATATTTAGTTTGACATAATGTGATATGATAAATTAAAGACTTAATTACAACTTTGATCTCTCTATTTTTTTATTTTTTTAGTTTTGATCCCCATATTTTAAAAATTAAAATTTTAGTTCCTTTTTTATTTTTATTTTATTTTAATCTCCTTCCCAATTTGAATCTAATTTTCAATAAAATAACACATGTGCCAATGACTTGGCAGAGCAACGTTGACTATTTTTATTTTCATGTCATATTAATTATATATAAATATTTTCCATATTTTAAAATAGAAATTTAATAAAATTATTCAAAAATACACCATTGTTTTTAATATTATTCATTACTAAAGAAAATACATCATTGATATTAATAATAATTCAATAAATACAATTAAAAATTAAAATATCACATTTAGGAGAGATATTTATCTTTAGTGTCATACTAAGAGAACTTATAAGAAAAAGAAAAATGGATATTTTGTTTCCTATCCTTTGGTCTAAGAGTGGAAGAAAGGTTTGATCATTAAAAAAAAAAAATTAAAGTTGGACAAGATATGCTTATGGAGTGTGCTTAGTCAGCAATTAATTGGAAAAGCATAAGAAATGGAATATAATTATATCTTAATCAACAAAGCCAACCACCATATGGTGAACCAATATTCTACGCTAAGTTTGTTAGGCCATACATATTTTAATTCAACTTACTTGTTTCTTTCGTGATTAACGCAACAATTAGGGGCAAATTTGACATTTCAACCCAGAACAAAACAAACTAGTATGCCCCAAAATACAAGGTAAAGGTAACCTCATTATTTCCGAAAACTAATCATTTTTCAACTTGAAGCTCAAAATCATCATCATCACTGCAAAATCATAATAGCATACAAGAGGGAGAAGGAGGAGGAAAAAGTTTGAACCTTTTTCTCTCCACTCTTGCTAAATCAACCACTCTCTCTGTTTCTGCTTTGTGGGATGTTTGGCTGTGAGTGTTTTTGTTGGGATACTGTCCTTGAATCCTCTCTCTCTGATCCACTTCCTTATTCTCTTCCTTCACCTCTTCCACAATGGCCACAAGGTATGTTATCATCAATCTTCCCTTTTTAGATTCTTTTCTTGCTTCTAATTTCAATGATTAAGTCAACTTACTTCTATATCTGAGTTTTTGGATTCTTGATATGAATACTGTTTTGTTTGATTTTGTTATTGGCTTTGATGTAAAATGTTTGTGTGAATGGTTTAATTAGGTGGAGGTTTTGGCTATGGAAGAATGTCCCTTGGGAAAATACAAGTTATGAAAGTAGACAAGTTTGAGAAAGTTTGGAGATGCACAAATTTGAATGGAAAGTCATTAGGTTTTACATTTTATAGACCTTTGGAGATTCCAGATGGATTTTCCTGTCTTGGTTACTATTGCCAGCCCAATGATCAGCTGTTGCGAGGGCACGTTCTTGTTGCGAGGGAAACTAGTTCTCAAACTCAACTTGATTGTTCTGCATTAGAGCCCCCAGCTCTGATAAAACCAGTTAACTACTCGTTGATATGGAGCATGGATTCACATGATGAATGTGTTTACTTTTGGTTGCCAAACCCTCCAACGGGTTATAAAACCGTCGGGATAGTAGTTACTACTAGTCCGGATGAACCGAGAGTTGATGAAGTTAGATGTGTGAGAATTGATCTAACGGAAGTTTGTGAGACATCTGATCTATTATTAATGATAAAGTCAAAGAAAAATTGTTTCCAGGTTTGGAAGACGGAACCCTGCGATAGAGGTATGCTGGCGAGTGGTGTACCTGTTGGGACATTCTTCTGTGGCACTGACTACTTTGATTCTGAACAAGTGGTGGATGTTGCGTGTTTGAAGAATCTTGATTCTTCATTGCATGTAATGCCGAATCTCAACCAGGTTCACGCGCTTATTGAGCATTACGGGCCGACTGTATATTTTCATCCTGATGAGGTATACATGCCATCTTCAGTGCCGTGGTTTTTCAAAAATGGAGCGCTTTTGTATACCGCGGATAGTGCGAAGGGAAAAACTATAGATTATGACGGCTCAAATTTACCTTGTGGTGAATGCAATGATAGTGCGTTTTGGATTGATTTGCCTATTGATGAAGATGCAAGAAATAATCTAAAGAAGGGAAACCTCGAGAGTGCAGAACTATATGTTCATGTAAAACCGGCATTAGGAGGAGCCTTTACCGATATTGCAATGTGGGTTTTCTGCCCCTTTAATGGTCCTGCCACACTTAAAGTGGCATTGATGAACATTGAGATGACTAAGATAGGGGAACATGTTGGTGATTGGGAGCACTTCACGCTTCGCATAAGCAACTTCACCGGAGAACTTTGGTCGGTTTTTTTCTCTGAGCACAGTGGAGGTAAATGGGTGGACACATTCAATTTGGAGTTTATTAAGGATAATAAACCGATAGTTTATTCATCAAGACACGGTCATGCTAGCTACCCTCATCCCGGGACTTACCTTCAGGGATCATCCAAACTTGGAATAGGAGTTCGAAACGACGCTGCTAAAAGTAACTATATTGTGGATTCAAGCTTCAGATATAAGATTGTTGCGGCGGAGTATCTTGGTGATGGAGTCATTACAGAACCACGTTGGTTGCAGTATATGAGAGAGTGGGGACCTACCATTGTATACGATTCACGGTCCGAAATAGAAAAGATAATAGACTTGCTTCCAATATTTGTTAGGTTTTCAGTGGAGAACCTATTTGAATTATTTCCAACTGAGCTTTATGGTGAGGAGGGACCAACTGGTCCAAAGGAGAAGGACAATTGGCTTGGAGATGAATATTGCTAACCATATGCCATTAGTCATTTCTCTTGAACTAAGGAATCCAAACTTGTAAGATATCATTTTTTTGTCTTGATAATGATTTGTTTTCGGATTTTGATTTCCTGCGGTCACAAATTTACACATTCACGCAGTTAGAAGATCAGTGCTCGTTGAGTTTGATTTGAAATCTGAATTGTCTGATCTAGATTCAACGATCAGTGTTGTCCTGACCGCGTGAATACGTGGTTAAGTGACCAAGAGATCATCATCATGTAGCAACTGTAAAGGATGTGTGCCTCAGATAGTACTTGTAGATTTCTTGGCTCGCACGGAACAGAAAACAATTTCTATAACTAGTTGGTTTATGTATAATAGACAAAACTTAGAACATGTAGAAGGTAGGGATGTAGGTTGTATACACATTCATGAGTGTTATCATTAGTATTGCTTGTAATAGAACAGGAATGTGCTTGATACAGTGTTGTTATATAACTTAATTTACTTTCATTCCACCATACACATTTGCCACTTCAAATTTAATGAAATTCTCACCATGGTGGATGATTAGAGGTAACTCAGATGACATTCTAAAACTCAATGTTTATTTTATTTCAATCATAATTTTTAAATTGAATCTAATTTAAAAGTTAAATTAATATTTTATTTAATTAGTCATTCAATTAAATCTAATTTAAAAATTTTGATTTGGAGTAAGCTAAAAATATTTACTCTTAGAAAAAGTTAAAGAAGAAGTAGTAGTAATAGGTTGAGTGCTATAGTACTCTTCTTCAAACTCGTGGTTTAAAAAGATACTTGTATTCGAGTTCATACACGTGTGAGTATCAACATTTGTACTCATGTCTGTATCTTATAGGTATTTAAGTATTTATATTCATACGTGTTTATTTGTTTTTTTAATAAAAAATAATTTATTAAATATAATTTATCATGTCATTTTAATTTTTTAACAACATTTAAATAAATAAATTTGAGGATATTATTAATTTAAGAAATAATCCGACATGTATATTAAATGCGTACAAATTTAAAATAGATGTATTTAATAAAATTATTATATTAATATATCTCGAGTATATATGTATAAGATTATTAAAATTTGTGTCACGTGGCAGGTTTGTTATCAAAATTTTCATAGTTATAAGATTACATTATATCTGCTTGTTTAATGAATAACTGTACTCGTACTAATTTTATGAATTTTTATCCTTTTGTAGATAAATTTTATGAATATATAAGATGAAAAAATTGCCATCCTTACTTGTTAACTAAATTCCGGTAGGTTTATTTTTTCTTTTCTCTATTTAAACAAATTACTTATTAAATTATAAGATAACTGCAATATGTTTTTTTTTTAGTAAACTTCTGCAATATATCTATATAATATATAAAAGAATTTTTTTTTTGGCGTGGTTTATTTTTTTTTAATCATTTTTACTCTTACTTTATTATGTAATTTATTTAATAATTTTTTATTATTAACTTTCACATAACTTTTTATTATTAACTTCTACATATTATACTTAAATAAAAAGTATCTTTATATTTTCATTCATTCGCATTAAAAAAGCGGGCACACAGGCACACGCGAGTGTCCGTCTAAACGCTAGTTTTTTATAAGAACTTTCACTTCCGCATAATGTTAACTGCCGGTCATTAATATATATATTTTTTTGGCAAATTTTTAGATATATGTGATAAGTAGTTGGATATAACTACTTTTAATAGATATTCATTTAAAAAAAATTAATTTATTTTTAAATAAAATATATATAAAAAGTGACATATTATCCCAAGTTCATTCGAAGATGTATCTCCGGATTTTCTCGGTTGTTTTTGGAGATGCATCTTCGAATTCGTGTCTAGCTGCATTTTGATTGAAATATTGATGGGACTTTCTAGTTTTATTACATGTGCAATGACTGAAAATAATCCGGATAATTAGGCTCGGCCGTGTGTCCCAACACGCGTCTGCACAACATAAGAGAGCTAGGGGAAATGCCACGAGTCGGTGATACCTCGTTTGATGGTTCACAAGGTCGAAGTTCACAACCATTTGGTTCTACTTTTCATAGTCGCCTATCTCAGGCATCTACTTCATAGGGCTAAGTGCCCCCTACTTATGAAGCCCCTGAAGCCCATGAGAAACTCGTTGTTAATGTCTCTGTAGATAGTTATTCAGGTGGCCCATTTGACACCCCCGTTACTTCATTTATATGGAGATCACTTTGCTAGGCATATGTTTGGGAAGAATAGTTATATTTATTTATCTTTGCATTACTTATGTTTTAAACTAATTTAATCGCGACTGATGGTGAAATTTTTTTTATAGAAACGTATATGTTTAAAATTTGTAAGCCACGGAAGTAAGATATTGGATTTAGAACAGTCCGATGTTGATCGATTCAAGAATGTTATCTGGTACTTTGGTCTTGCCGATATATGTGTTACTGCTTACACTACCATAAATCATGGTATGCATGTGACATTTGCAGAGAAATGGCATTCAGAGACATCATCTTCCCACCTTCATATTACCGAGATGGTTATCGCACAGGTAGACGTCTCATGCCTCCTACATCTTTCCATCAGGGGAAATTATTGGACCACAGAAGGTTCGATCGAGAGAAAGCCAGCAAGATGTTGGTTACCTATTTGGAGGTTGATCCAATTGACGCTGCAAATGAGGTATCTGGCACAAGAGGTGCTCATTCTAGATTTAAAATTTTGGAAGAACTCTATAAAGACCACCTGCAGATGGTTGTGTATGTCGATGTTGATGATATGTGTCATACCTCAAAATTTTCCCTACCTCCTCATTCAATTTGTCTGCTTTATGGTTTTGTTTATTTGCATACATTTTTCTACTTGATCATGCATTTAGGTCACTCATCGACATTTGCATATTGTAACAAATTTAGGTCGAAGGTTCGACAATAATAGATTTATTTAGTTTAAGTGGATTTTCGAGACGAATATTATTTAGTAATTATTCGGGTTTATTTTTCATATTACGTGTGGTGCGGATCATTTCTTTAGCCGAAAGTCATGGTTAGCAAGGGGATTAGAATGATTATTACTTCATTCAGAAGATTGCTCGAATTCAAAGAAAATGATAAAGTTGAAATAAAAAGAAGATTTCATTCATCTATTGGAAATTCATGGTACAATGCATATTTTTTGAGATACGAATCAAAAGAATGGATTACAAGGAAAAAGGGTTTAAAACTACACCTTTTAGGTATAATTGACTTTTTGGTCAAATAGTTGACTGTTTGGTCAACTGTTGACTTTTGCCCAATTGCTGACCATTGACTCGATTTTCACTTTTGAATTTTCCTAGACCTATTCTACAAGCATTTGCTCAAAGTATTCATCATTATTCTTCAAGAATGACTTATGTCATGATTATGTTAAATGCTAATTTTCAACAAATTATATCTTCCATCAAGCTTCACTTCCATGGCTTGTTCTTCACTTTCCAATGTTGGTTCAGGTTCATTCTTCCACCATAATGATCACTTTGCTACAAGGAAGAAATTACATTAATTTATACAATCATATTATGAAATTAAATCATAAAAAAATCATGGAAAAGTCATGAAAAACTCAAGAAAAACTTAGAAAATTATGCACTGTGTAGTGATTTCAAGACTTGTGTTTTCAAAACATCCAAACAATGATTCATACCCTTAAGTTCATAATTTTATCCATGAGATTACACTATTCTAAAGTTCTTATTTTCAACGCAAAATCACTTTACAAAAGCACTTAAAGTCACGAGATAGTTCGCCAAAAATTCAAGGCAAAAGTGGTAAAAAATCAAAGGCAAACGCATTCAAAAATTTCATGTTTCATGCATAATTACTAATGACCTTTTCCCTTACATTCGAACTTTATACTTTTGCAAAACTCAAGCACCATTTGTCTTTAACTATCTATGCATCCACAATTATTCAATTACGAATTAACCCTTAACTAACATAACTAAGATAACTAATATTAACCCCTTGAACCATCTTTTTTTCCACCATTTTTTCTCAAGTTCTCTCTCTTTTCTTCACTCTCTCACCATCACTAAAGTTCATATTCATAATCAATTAGAACTTCATATTGAAGTTTTAAATTTGGTGGAACTTAACCACAACCAAATTTCAACAAATCATCAATCAAATTTCAACAACTCACACATTATCATCAATAATCTTCATCCAAAGTTCATCAAGATTCAATCATATTCATCAATATTCTATATTAAAGATTCATCTTCTATATTCATTCATCATCAAAAATAATCATCAATCTTGAAAATTAATTAGATTAAAGAAGCTTACTTTAAAGTTTTCAGGGCTTTTCGTCAGCAATTCTCAAAACTAACCGGGGCATACCTCCACTCCGTCGATAATCCTTCATCTATTTTCTCCCATACCCTTGCTATGAATTTTTGGATGATTCTTGTTGATTAATTTAAGTCACTATTTTGAAAATGATTATTTAATAAGTACTTTTTTCCTTAAATTGAAAATCCAATTTCAAGTAGATAGAAAATTGCAAAAATTAACATAGAATATTTCTAACATGGTTTAGCCTAGCATTGAATTAGACATTGCATTAGTGTAGAATTTAGATATAGAACATGAAATAGTTTATTAGAATAATCACTTATTTTAAGCCAGAAAAAAAAAAGAAACTTGATTCAAAAGTTTCACAGAATATTTAGTGTGCAAGTTACGAAACATCAAACCACATCATAAGTCATAGTTATTTCGAAACCGGTAAGAAAAACAAAATGAACAAAGGTACTGAGGCCTCCAACAATCAAGCAGCACGAGTTTATATCACCTTATTAGTTTTTGTGAGTGCAAGAAAGTAGTAATAAATAATGAGATAAATTATACTGTGTAGATGTGTGTGTAGTAAAAAGTGTAGTGTGTGTAATTATGAAGAATATTGTGATGTTGTTGTACTTGCAATACAATTGTTAGAGTAATGTGGTGAGAGTAATGGTTTTGAAATGTGAGTAAAATAGTAGTTTAATAGAGAATGACTAATAGTGATGTGGTTGTTTGATTTGAAGTAAAATGTTAAATAAGTTCTAATAAAATTAGGACCTTACCCGCAAAGTGATCATCATCTTTTTTGATGTCGGAAATGCTAGTACTGTGACAATTCTCATGCATTCTGCAATAAGTGTTTTTATGTGGATTTCTATTACTTGTGGTAATCAGAGGCCTCCAAACTGAAATTTGGTGTGGTAATCGGAAGGTCAGATAATGGTTTGGATAGAAGTTGTGCTTTTGTGACAATGACATGCGAAAGAAGTTGGAAATATAGACTTCCTCTTTAAAATTTTAAACGAGACAACATCGGTTCAAGAAAAATGTGTGTCCCTTTAAGTTGTGTGGTTATATGTTGGCAAACAATAACTGGAGATTTAATGTCATATGTGGTTTTCATAACCATGACTTGTGTGAAAAGTTAGTCGGTCGTCCAATTGCGTTTCGTCTTATGTCGGAAGAGAAAAAAATACATTGATGACATGACATTGAGTTTGGTGCGATCGAAAAATATACTTGCAACTTTGAAACGTAAAAGACCCAAAAATATCTCAAATATCAAGCAAGTGTGCAATATTCGGTACCAAACTAACAAGGCGCTAAAGGGGATAAGACTGAAATTCAACAACTCTTGAAACTATTGGATGTTAACAGTTATGTGTCTATGTACCGAACGTGCGAGGATGGAGTTACTGTTAAATATATATTTTGGACTCACCCTAATTTCATTAAGTTGTTCAACACGTTTTCTATTGTGCTCATAATTGACTCACCGTACAAGAGCAACAAGTACAGACTTTCATTATTTGTTATGGTTGGTGTTACCTCTACTAGAAAGACCTATTATGTGGGGTTTTCATGTCTAGAGAGAAAAAAAGAGGACAATGTTACTTGGGCCTTAGATGTGTGATGGAAAATATTGAAGGACTTAGAAGAGATGTTTAAAGTGATTGTTACCGACCACAATACCATGTTGATGAATTCGGTTGCAAAGGTATTTCCTACTTTTTATGCATTACTTTTTAGGTATCACATGACAAAGAATGTGAGAAGTCGGGTTAAACTCATGGTAGGGACGAAATAGATAAAGTTCGAAGATGGAAATGGTGAAGGCGGGGGTGATTGTGGAAAAAATAGTGGATGCATGAAATTGTATGGTAAATTCTTCCAATAAAGAGTTATATGTTAATTCTGTTATGTATTTTAGGAAGGCGTGCGAGAAATATCATGATTTGTTGAAGTATGTTGAAAGCAAAATTCTTGATCAGGTGAAGGAGAAAATTGTTTGTGTTTGGACCGATCAGGTTATGCACCTTTGGAATATAACAACAAACCGAGTTGAGTCTACCCATGCTACATTGAAGAATTAGTTGGGAAATAATAAGGGTGATTTGTATAGAGATTGAAACTTCGTGAACAAGATGATTCAAAACCAGCATAATAAGATACATACATCATTTGGTCGGAGTATCAAAATTTTGGAACATAGATTTAAAGATAACAATCATTATTCTCAGTTGGTCAGCTATATATCTCGAGCGGGTTTGAATTATATTTTTCACAAAGCTAAACAAGCTGATAATTTAAGCTCTGATAGCGTAAATTGTGAATGCACAATTGCGAAAACATATTGTCTCTCATGTGCTTGTGTTATTGCAAAAAAATGTGAAACTTGATAGTCTCATAAGAATGGATGAGGTTTTTACCCACTAGAAAAGGCTTAGGTTTGATGATGATGTTCTCATGAAAGACAATAAATTGAATATCTCTATCTTGATCGAATGGGAAATGGTACAAGGGAGAATTTTGAAAATCGATGAGAATATGAAACTCCACATCAAAGAACAATTGCTTATCCGGAAACCGCCGACTTGAAATCACCCTCACAACCGCTAAAAACAAAAGGTGCTCCAAAAAACCTCAAGCCTACACCGAGTGACAATTCAACGCTGCAGTCTCCTTCGTATTTTGAACATGTTGACAAATTTTTTTAAGACTCGCCAACTCCAAAATCTCAAAAAAAAATATTTTCAAATGAGCTCGCATTAGCAAACCACCTCCTTCTCCGCCTCCACCAAAGATTACATTCATTGATGAGATGCTGATTTTTATGCATAAGTCCATCGAGTGGATCACCAATGTTAAGGGTGAGGGTAATTGCGGATATCGAGCTGCTTTGACTTTACTCGGTAAAGGAGAAGATAATCATATATTTGTCCGCCATCAACTTATCCATGAGTTGAGGACTCATAGAGAATCATACACACGAATTTATAGAAAGAAAGAAAATCTTAATGCAATTTATAAGTCTCTTGCTCCTTTCCATAGTGGACCGGCACCAGAGACAAAATGGATGCGCTTCCCTAAAATGGGTCACCTCGTAGCATTTGCATATGATAAAGTGTGTATTAATCTTACACGATACAATTTTTTAGAAATCTTTTCTAACTGCACACCGCCTTACCTCAAAATTCAAAAGATCACATAATGTGTATTGGGTGGCTTTCAAAATTACGGCATTTTGTTCAAGTTTACTTGAAACGGGGATGCCCTATACCACTTACATCACCTGAGTGGGCAGCTCATTCAACAACAAAAGTCGAGACTTGACATGACCATTTTATGGAAAGGATGCAAAAATTCGAGAAATTAAGCATTGTTGAAAGAGAATCAAATGCACAAAAGTCAGAGGGGGTACCACTCATAGATTTAGCCGACGACAAATATTTTGATTCGTTTTAATGTTCTGTATAATCGGACAAATAAGTGTATGTAATTTCGTCTCAATATTAATGAAGTGTAATATATTCAATTTCTTAATATGTTAATATATTTTTTATCTTTTTCAAAATATTTGTTCATTTGCCAAAAAAAAAGTCATCAATCAATTAGGTTTTGTTTTCTTCCTGGTTTATGAAAGATTTTGAAGATGTATCTTCGAAATAAAACAATAGTGCAGTACTAGAGATGTATCTCCGAAACCAGCATTGATGCTTCATAGAATTTGTGGTCCACATTTGTCTACAACTTTTATAAATTTAGGGGTTTTAATTTCTTATTTCACACAAACAAAAAATGTCACAAATAAATATCATCTGATTTGTCGCAAATGTCTCCTTCTCAGGCACGATACACAGGTGAAAGTTTAAGCTCAAAGAGTACACCTCTTTTTGCAGAACTGAAATACTAAATCTACAATCTTCTACCTTATGGAAATAATCAAAAAATTGTGAAGTTCGAGAACTGTTCATTGTCTATTGATAACGGATGAAAGATTGAGTTCGGCAACTTTGAGCTCAAGACAACTGCAGATGTAAGGGCTATCTTGAATACATTTTTCCATTTTAAAACAAAAGTTTCGCTCAAATTGTAAACAATTTCAATACCGATCAAAGATATTGTGAAGATGTTGAAGCGTCGGTTAGAGTATTAATATTGAACTATAATGTTACGTTTTATATTAAAATCATCTAGGTAATGTTGATTTCATATTATAAATAGTAATTTTGTTGTCAAATTATAAATTTTTGATAATGAGCTAAGTTGTGTGTATATTGAATGCGTTCTAAAAAACATCTCCAAAATTTAAGAGCATTTTAGTATTTTTCATGTGATAAGCCGGTAATATCCAAGGTGTTGGTAATATCCAGTGTGCGTTTAGAAATTCTTTTTTTTTATACTATTTGCAATTCTCAGTGTCCATATAGTTTTAAAATCCCAAGAAAAAAAAAGGGATAAAATAGTTATTCTAACCAAAATTTAAGAACCGGTAATTGGAAATATTCAATACCAAGTTGGTAATACAAAGTAATACCAATAGAGAAACAAATCTGATCCAAATTTGATAATTACTAATGTAGGTGACCAAAATTCAGTTGATTGAAACTTGTCGGATTCCTGCAACATATCCATTATACCTGATCAAAATTTCCTCATACCTCAGGAAAAACATCAATAGACCCAAATACAAAAGAAACACTTCTATTTGATCAACAAAATATTATAGACATTGGCCTAATCAATTTACAGTACACAAAAAAGTATTATATGAACATTCAGATTATGTCATTCCTTATGTTACTACATTCCTATTTCTTCTTTAAGTAATCCCACCAGTAACATTCCTATTTCTTCTTTAAGTTATCCCACCTTATCTCCTTGGCACATTCGCCGCAGACTGTGCTGCTCCCAAATCTTATTCCCTGACTTCTAAGTGTCAGCAAGTGTGCAAGATTGGTGCATTGCCGTGTTGTGAAACGATTCCTAAGCTTAGTTGAAATGAGGAAATCTTCTGGTTCATTGTGTTCTTCTTCCTTTGGCACTTCTTCCTTTTGATCAGGCACAGACTCACCAAGTGGTACTCTCTGAACTTCTTCCCACTCCAGCGATTTGCGATACACCTCCCAAGCCATATCTTGCTCTTCTTTCGACAGTTTTTCCTCTTCGTTTTCTTGTAACAGGGATTCGTGTAAATGATAATTGGCAATCCACCTGTTAAGAGAAACTACATCAGCTGATATTGAGAGAAACTAAATAAAAAGCATCCATATGTTAGAATACAGACTATACTACAAAATCTTTTATTGATGCATACTACTGCAACTAGCACAGCAGAAATCTAGCTTCTAGATCTAGATCATCCAGTTCCCAAATCGCGTGAACATATGTGAATGGTCTAGACTCTTATAACATGTTGAAGTTGTAAGTTTTCATTTTAGAGGAGTGAAAAAAGAGAGAGAAAAAAGAACGAGGGATGGATATTGTTTGATACATTGCTCTTACTCATCCACCACATCTCCGACTATGTCTTCACTTTTAGACTGAGTGATAGATTTTCCCTTCTAAACAAGTAATGTGGGAATGGAACAATAATTGCACTTAATTAAGAGCTTATTGGGGGTGAAACACTTGCAGTGTTTTCAAGTCATCAATCTTATTTTTCTTCTTCGTCTGACCCGTAACGCCACTACAAAATAAAACATCTTGAAGTGTGGACATGTGGGAAGAAATAGCGCTATATCAAAAAGGACAAAGGGAGGCAAAACAGGAGAATAACAAAGCCTTGGGAAAGGGAGACAGGATGTTGGATTGAGGCAAAAAAAACAAATGGATCCAATCCAAACATAAGAGTAGGGACCAAACATAGGACCGTGTTCTTCAATAATCTCACTTAGGGCTCTTTGCAGGAAATTATTTAACAATTTCCATCCAATTCCGATTTCATAACCAGGTCATGCATCCAAGCCTATTCATTGTGTACAAACCACAGGCTCAGAATTGCAAGACCCAAAAAATGGTTTGCATAATAAGGAGCTCATTTTTTCAAAACCATCTCCACAGAAATGTAACACCAATTCTTAGATTTCGGGTCAAACTCAGCTCCACAAAAATGGTTTGCATGGTGAGTACTAATTTTTTTTTCTTAACCTTCTCTGATTTAATCTCTCGTAAAGGTGGAAATTAGATTTTTCTCAATACGCCGCCTCACATCCAGCACTGCTAGGCTTGGTCACATCCAGCACTGCTGGGCTTGTGGGCGGTCTAATCAATTAAGGATAGGCTCTCAAATCAAATTAGGTCTAACTCAACCCCACAAAACCAATTTTGACGTGAAAGGTGTCCAGTTTTTATAAAGTTTTCAGGGGTTTATCTCTAATCAATAATGGGAGTTAATATTTTTCCAAAAACATTACAAGGACCATTTTGAGTAGGGCTGGAAATGAGTCGAGTCGAGTCGAACTCACCTCAGCTCGACTCGACTCGTTAAGAATTTTTCGAGTTCGAGTTCGAGTTCGAGTTCAACACGAACTTTTTTTTAAGCTCAAACTCGACTCGTTAAGAATTGTTTCGAGTTCGAGTTCGAGTTCAACACGAACTTTTTTTAAAGCTCAAACTCGACTTGTTATAAGTTCACGAACAGTTTGGTTCAACTCATTAGGATCAGCTCACATGATTCACGGGCTTAAAAACTATTTTTTTTAAATATATATATTTTTTAGTATATTTGACATTTTAAATATATATTTTTTAAAAATAAAATATTAAAATAAAATAAAAATTATCATATTGAAATTTAACTTTATCTTCGAAATCTACTAATTCAAAACTTACACAACTTTCAAGAGATACATTTGAGAGTCTAATTCAAAAACTACTAAGTTGAAGATTAAATTTGTCTAAGATTTAGATTAAATATTTAAACCTAATCTTCAAGACAGTATAATTATTCTCATATGTAATCGAGTTGACTCATGAACCTAACGAGTCGAACTATGTAGAGTTCAAGTTCAGCTCATTTAGTTAACGAACTTAATTTTTCGCTCATACTCAACTCATTAGGTTCATGAACCTAGTTCAACGATCTAATTGTCGAATCGAATTTCGAACTATTTTCGAGTTGGTTCGGTTCATTGCCAGCCCTAATTTTGAGAGAAAAAACATAGGAAAAACATACATAAGCCATTTTTAAAAATCTAATGATATGGATTGGCCAAGTCATAAAAAAACAGTAGAAGTTACTTGTCGCAATTAAGAATGTAATTCAAAAAATTATTCCATTTATGATACATAAAATTGAAACTAATCCTTATAATTAGTATCTATATAATATTTTGCAAGCAAAGTTCAAGAAGTACTCAGTCTCTTAGAATAATGTGATAATGTTGAAGGTTAAATCTTGTCAGGCCAATAATTCTTAACAGAAATATTATGACAGCAAAATGTGTTTACACACCGGGCCAACTTATCACTCTCTGTTAATAACTTGATTTTTACACACTGATTCACTACTAAACCAGTTAGAGTTAAAAGCGGAAGAAGAAAAATGGGGATCATAACTTGCATGATACCATATAAAAGGCAAACTGAAGAAAAATGGGGATCATAGCATGCATGATATGACCATAAAAGGCAAACTGAAGATGTCATCATCATCATGAAACAAGACTTAATTCAAATAACAGCTGAAAGTAGATAACATACCGGGGATGATGCTTGCCCAATAAGCTTTCCATTAACTTGTCAGAATAGCCGTTTCCATTTGAATGTGGTACAGTATGTTTTAGAGAATCCCCAGCCAAAATCGGATTATGTTGTTCACAAGTAAGCCCGTCATATTTACTTAGTTCAGCCAAAGTCTCAGGATTCTCATCGTCACCAAACTCAAAGAGATGCAGCATTTCTTCTTTAGACATGGTCCTATGCACCTGTTGTCGATCTACCACTCTAGCAGCAAGCCCCTCTTTTGTAACCTATTGAAATTCCATACATTAGAGAAATTTAGTTAAAACATGACGAATAGAAGCAATCATATTGTATTACCTGTCGCTTGTATATTTTCTCTTCCATAGTTCCATGAGCCAGCAACCGATAAGCAAACACGGGCTTTTTCTGCCCATACCTGCAAATGTGAAACATTATTTAGTTTTCAACATTATTTGCCTATAGAAACAAATCATACTTTGTAAATCGTCAACTACAAAATGTGTATCCTTCTAACTTTTAGGATCATTCCAGAGAGAAACCAATTAAACTACTTCAAACCAAGAGCAAATGTGTTTACCAGAATTGTAAAATATATGTGATCATAATACAAAGTGGAAGGTTCGTGACTCCCAAAAATTATCATAATGGCTTTAGTGTTAATAAAAACGATAAATGTGCATTCCTTTATAGCTTGAGCTTTAAGGAGAATTGGTTCTTGAAATAGTATTTGATTCTCTTAAGACAAAATGGTCTAGAGTACGTTGTTACCGCTCATCAATTTTCTAAATAAAAAATAGAATTCAAACATACGGCAGGTGGATCTGTACATTAAGCATTGTCCATGTTTCAGGTCTAAAAAAATCTTGAATGAGGGTTGTGCTATCTAGAAATGTAATAAAAATATTGTTCGTGTATCTCCCTCTTACAGTTTAAACTTTTAGAAGGGTTGGTTTATGACACTTAGCATTAACTGAGACAGTTTAAACTTTTAGAAGGGTTGGTTTATGACACTTAGCATTAACTGAGACAGTTTAAACTTTTAGAAGGGTTGGTTTATGACACTTAGCATTAACTGAGACAAGATCTTTACTTGACAATCTTTTTATTTATTTAATTACTTGTTTTTTTTTCTTTTTTTAGCATAAAAGCAGAATCCTATTATTATAAAAAGAAGATAAAACAAAAAGATGGGACAAGATATCTTTCTAAAAAATATGAAATATGCAAACAAATGAGAACAAGAATTTAACTGAGCAATTCTATTCAGTCCCTTTAATAAATTTGAAAGGGAAACTCTTCCAAAAAAAGGCAATGAGCTTTGCACCAAATAGAAGTCAAACACCTTTTCACAAAAACATTGTTCACAAAGAAATTTCTAATATTGCATCCAATAGAAAATCATAACTTTACCAACATTCCTCCAAAAAATTATCCCTACTATGTGGTGCTTCCTCAAAAGAAATCTCATTTTAGTTAAGGGAAAAAATTAGCATGATCATACCTCCAAGCTCGATATATAGCCTGAAGATCATATGTTGGATTCCAAGAACCATCAACTATAACAACGCGGTTAGCTGCATGAAGATTAATACCCAAAGAGCCTGCTCTGGTTGAAATTAGTGTGCATTTTACCCTTTTATTCAAAGGCTCGTTAAATCTCTCAACAAGCTTCTGTCTTTCTGAGCTCTCTGTTCTTCCATCCAGCCTGGAGAACCAGATGTGCATTTTCAAATAAATGAAATCATTAAAAACATATAAATTAGAGAAGTCCTAATTAGACAGATAAACTTTTATAAGGATCGCAAAATCCAAATGCATCAGCACGTCCTGTTACTTTTTATGAGTTAGAACTAGAAGGATGGCAATAACATATATGCAAACACATTATATAGTGAAAAGATTCATTTTTTGGGATATTAACAAAATCTTTCCACCACTCTGAAAGGCATCTACAACTTATGTGCCAGAAAATAAAAAATGAGAAAATTCTCATACATTAATAATTTGGGCCTGCCAATATATAAAATAATACAGAAGGGTGTTAAAATGATAAAACATTAATCTGAATAATTTAAAGACATCTAAGAAGCAAAACTCGCAGCGGGAAAGAGACCTTTAATCATCAAACTAATCAAATAACAATGCCCACAGATGGAAGTATTCAAGGAAAAAAACATACATTCCCAGCAACAAAGTACAATTTACAAATATAAATATGATAAGCGAAATAAAATCAAAACAGAAAGTCAAGAAGAGTAGCAGAAGGTTGTACTAATTTAAAAAATATGAACTGACCTATACCAATCTTTTCCCTTCTTCCACAACTTCCCTCGTTTGCCACGTCGTGGTAGTCTTGAGAGATAAAGTTCTATGAGGTCTAGGGTTGGTATGCTCTGACTAAAAACCAGCACCTTATCACCCACATCAGAACTCATCGTAAGTATATCAATTAGCAAAACCATTTTGCCACTTTGATCAAGCTCTTTATAAATTTTTCCATGAAGAATATCTTTCCACCAGCCCTGAAAAAACGTCAGTTAAGACCAATCACTAAAAATCTAGGAGCGATATGATAAAAGCATAACTTACCAAGTGATAAAGCTTAATATCCGTGTAGAGAAATATCAGAATATCAAGAAATAACAAGTTAACTACCAAAGCGGGCAACATAAGTGTATTCTAAATCAAACCCCGTTTTAGAATATGTGACACTAACCTAGAAGCTTCTGTTTTGGTTAGTATACTGACTTTCTTTTAGCACTGTTAGTAAATAGCTACAGAAGCAGTTAGGCATTACTTCCTTCACATAAATACTTCATATTGTAAATTCAGTTCGTTAAATTATACAGCAACCTCTCATCGGTTTCTTTTGTAATCCCTTCTCATCGCTTGCTTTCATCAAATTGAAAGGTTTTGTTGAGATATGTATAGATTTGAAAGGCTTTGTTAAGATATGTATAGATTTAAGTTATGTTTTGTTGAGAAAATCTCTCTATACGTTTAGGATAGTTAGCTTATTCATTCCTATAGTCAAAGGATTTCATTAATGATTTGATTGTATTCTTAGTTATAAACAACAAAAGCTGATAGTAATTCCCTCAAGCAACTCATAATCTAATTAACTGATTCAGGATCAATTACAGAACAACACTATTCAACTAAACCTGTTTCTAACTATCAAATTACAGAACAACACTATTCAACTTAACCTGTTTCTAACTACTAGGATAGTTAGCTTATTCTTTCCTATAGTCAAAGGATTTCATTAATGATTTGAATGTATTCTTAGTTATAAATAACAAAAGCTGATAGTATTTCTCTAAAACAACTCAAATAATCTAATTAACTGTGTTAAGAAATGTGGTTGGGCTTAACTCAACCCTACAAAACCGGTTGGTAGAGTGAGAATTACCCCCACTTATAAACACATGTTCATGTCATATATTGTCCGATGTGAGACTCTTAACACACACCCTCACGCTCAGGACTAGACAACTGAAGCGTGGAAATAAATGGTGGGTGGCCCGATAGCGGAAACCATAAAAGGTGGGTCACCGGATCTTAAACGAGGCTCTTGATACCATGTTAAGAAATGTGGTTGGGTCTAACTCAACCCTACAAAACCGGTTGGGAGAGTGAGGATTACCCCCACTTATAAACACATGTTCATGTCGTATATTGTCCGATGTGAGACTCTTAACAAACTGGTTCAGGATCAATTACAGAACAACGCTTATCAACTTAACCTGTTTCTATGAGTACCTTTATGAAGAAGCCATCACCATCCTTCTTTTGCAGCAAATCATTTGTTTGCTTCAATTTCTCTGTAACGTAATGAATTGTCAAAAATAATAGAGATAAGAACAGATAACATAAAAATTATGAAAGCTCAAAATAATAATGAATGGATTATTATGTAAAAGTAACATGTTTCATAGTCAGCTGACGACTTTCATCGAACAGACAGACAAGATTTGTTGATGTTTTATTTGTTAAAAACTACCAGAACATATAGCTACCTCCAGCAAGTACATTAGAATCGGAATTTTCATCACTTGAGATATCATCAACAAGGAAATTCTCGACAGCATCTTCAGGTCTTACACAGTCCTTGTCTTCTTTTGTCAATTGCAAGATCCCAGGGTGGTTCCATATCTACTACAAACAATAAATTTTTTTATCATCAAGATATATTAAGACAGATAGGAAGCTGACATAATAATTTAACAAAAACGCAATAATCACTTGCCATTCATTTTGAGTTCAAAAGTTAAAACATTTATAAAAAATCACACTTAGAATTTGGGTTGGTTTAACTCAACCTTACAAAATCAATTTGTAAAGTGAGGATTGCCCTCACTAATAAACATATGTTCAGACCATCTTTCATCTAATGGGGGATATACATTGAATAAGAGTTCATAAAGAGAACCCCACACATTATAAGTTGGTTTTCTAAGGATGAGTTAGGCCCAATATTATAACCTAATACATACCAAAATTAATACAAAAATCACTGAGCAATTTTGCCAAATATTAGAAATATGATAACTGAGAATGAACAGAAATGCATTTAACAATTGAATGATTAGCTGATTACAATACAGCTGGATCAAGCTAGAGATATTTAGAGTCCCAATAATTAGACAATTAAAGTAACTCAATAAATGGAACTAATTGAAGGTAGCTCACGTAGTTAGAGGTTGAAGGTTCTAGAATACAAGACAAATGAGAGGACATAAGGCTAAGACGAGTACAATGCTAAACCAAATCTGCACTAATTAAATGATATTTAATACAGCTTTGACTCAACATTAAAAACTACTGAGAAAAATCCAAGTCCCGCGTTAAAAAAAATTGAAAAAATATATCACCTTACAAACCGGTTTTATAAGAATGGATTTGACCAAATATAAAAATCTAACATGGTATGAGAGCATATCCATGGGGGTCACGAACTAAATTATCCACATCAAGCCCAAAGTGCTGATGTGAGAGGGAGTGTTGGGAAATCTAATGCTAGCCTATGCAAACATTTATATATAACCAATTCTTAACCCAAATCAACTGTTTACAAGTTTACCCTAATTTATTACCCTAGTTTCTTTAACACCTATAGTTTCCCTCTTATCAAATTGCTCCTACTTAGAATCACCTCTTTTTTCTCATCAAATCATTATATCTACTCAACTTACCCGAGCCAATGCCTGGTACCCAGCAAAAAAACTCCTCTTTCTTAACTTTTCATGATTTTCCCTAACATCAGTGAACCCGTGCACATCAAGGAATCTCTTGTACAATTTTCTTTGTAAGGGAGAAAGCTTGACTGTTAACACGAAAACAGTTTTGGGCGGTAGGTCTTTCTTCACAACATTCATGTCCATTCTTTGGACAAAGCCTTTTAATTCTTCATAGAGGATGTGAGACCTTTGGTTCATAATTTTTACATCAGTCAGAGTGGAATTAGTGTGTTGACCATTCTCTATAGGATTTTGGAAGCTGCACACACAGGGAAATATTTTAAAAAGTACATAATATAAACCAAAGTAAAAATCAGAACGGAGAGAGTAATCAAAGCCTTACCGATTTCTAAATTCATGGCTGCTTCCAAGAAAACCTTCTCGTACAAAATCAACCATCTATTTCAGATATAATGATGATGAGTCAAAGATTGTATGCAATAACTTATTGATTTCTGAATTTAACTTTTATGCAAACTTACACAATAATATTCCATGAGATTATTTTGAAGAGGTGATCCTGTAAGCGCAATTCTTCTCTGGCACTTCACTTGTTTTAAGGCATGAGTAACTTCAGCCTTAGTATTTTTTATGATATGGGCTTCGTCACACACAAGAATGTCCGGGCCGTCCTGCAGTAACATGTAAACAAGCTTTAAAAAATGCAATAGCAAATAACAGAGTAGAATAAAAGTTTTAGCAGTTTTAATAAAGTCAATATTCTACTTCTGAGTTTCCAAAATAAGCAACAAAAAATGTTAGGAAGGCTCTATTTCCATCCATGTCTGATTGGAAATCCAATCCCTACCTTTTACTTTAATTGTGGATGTACTCACTGAGCACATCCAAGAACTAGCACCGATATGCATGCCTTTTGCAGACGATATAGTCCTATAGTCCTACTGGGAGAGTCGAAGGAGTATTTAAACGAGAGGTTGGAGACTTGGAGGCAAACTTTAGAAACGCATGGCTTTCGCATAAACAGAAGTACGATGGAATATATGTAATGTAAGTTTAACAAAAGGAGAAGCGTTTCTAACCTAAAGGTGAAAGTTCAAGACCATATACGATGGAGAAATAGACAAGGATGTAAATCATCGAATTCAAGTTGGGTGGTTGAAATGGAAGAGGGCTTCAGGAATTTTATGTGATAGAAAGCTACCGCTCAAATTGAAGAGAAAGTTTTATCTGACACCGGTAAGACCAGCGATGTTGTATGGAACAAAATGTTGGGCGCTTAAGAATCAACACAAGAGTAAAGTAGGCGTAAGCAAAGATGACGATGTTGCGTTGGATGTGTGGTAAGACTAGACATGATAAAATTAGAAATGAGAATATTAGAGAGAGTGTTGGGATAGCACCTATAGTAGAAAAATGGTGGAGAATAGACTTTGATGGTTTGGACATGTAGAGAGAAGACCTTTAGATTCTGTGGTAAGGAGGGTAGATCTAATGGAGAGGGGTCAAATAGTTAGAGGTAGAGGAAGACCTAAGAAAACTATAAGAGAAGTAATTAAGATCTCGAACTTAACAATTTAGATAAAACCATGGTCTTGGATAGAACATTATGGCGGAAGTTGATCCATGTAGTCAACCTCACTTAGTGGGATAAGGCTTAGTTGTTGTTTTTGTTTATACACACATTACTTAGAGATATGGTGTGTGTAGTGTTTATAAAGTTTGGACAGCCCTCACCTTATAAACTGGTTTAGTGGAGATGAGTTAGACTAAATCCAAATTCTAAAAATAACAAGTTGTTCAAATTTAGCTGCAATATAATTGATGTTTAACAACTCTCTTGGAGAAGACTTGTACAATGTACACAATCCATATAGGAGGATAGATCAACTGGAGGATCGGTTCAATATTTGGAGAAAGAGAAAATGAAGAAAAACATTGGTTTAACCATTAATAAGGGTGTTTTTTGAGTCATTTGATTTTATTTATGTAACCTACCCCATCTATTGTGAAAAGGCTTTTGTTGTTGCAATGTTAAAAGAAATGTTTGTATCCAACACTATCTAGGGGCTTTACTTTGATAAACCAACAAGAAAAAGACGACACAGCCATTGTTTTAGAATTTACTCTTTCAAGCTGCCTAGGTGCAATAGTTTAAGTTGTCAATTTGTCGTCATTTGATTAATAAGTCATAAACCAAGACTAGGTCCGACCCTCTGCCACAGCAGGAGTTTTATAGAAATGAGAGGTCCTAGATTCACTAGCATATGTCTCACAACACATGTAGAGATATTTGTTAAGAGTCCCACATCGGACAATATATGGCATGAACATGTGTTTATAAGTGGGGGTAATCCTCACTCTACCAACCGGTTTTGTAGGGTTGAGTTAGGCCCAACCACACTTCTTAACATGGTATCAGAGCCTCGTTTAAGATCCGGTGGGCCACCTTCTATGGTTTCCGCTATCGGGCCACCCACCATTTATTTCCACGCTTCAGTTGTCTAGTCCTGAGCGTGAGGGGGTGTGTTAAGAGTCCCACATCGGACAATATATGGCATGAACACGTGTTTATAAGTGGGGGTAATCCTCACTCTACCAACCGGTTTTGTAGGGTTGAGTTAGGCCCAACCACACTTCTTAACAATATTCACATATTACAAAAATTATGGTTGTCGTTAATATGTGGAAACCAGATCTCTAATCATACATTGATTAGCTCTTATATTTGATATGCTTGTGCGATAAATGAAATATGCATAAGTTGCAAAATGAATTTCTCTCAAAAGCACATATTTTTAAGCCCTCTAAGTAGAAATCATTATCAATAGAGTTGTAACAACAATCATCAATGTGCCTTTGCAAATTAGAAAAAAACCAGCATCACAGGATAAGAAATATCATCTAACTACACGAATAGATATACTATTTCAATCATTTTACCTGCAAAGCATGGCAAATTTCTCTGGCTGTCTCCCGGTCTTTCGCGTTCTTTCCAAAAGACAAATTCCGGAAAGCGGTATAGCCAATTAAGAATACACCACCTTTTGCTCTCCATTTTGCAAGCAATTGTGCCCTCCTATCTCTGGGAAAAGGAAATTGTATCAGCAAGATGTTGGGTGTATAAGTTGTTGGCTGAAAAATTATATAAGTGACGAGGCAAATCCAGAGATCTCAAATAATGGAGGCAAAAAATGGCTATAACAAAGATATCCATCAACTCACTCTGGCCTGAAGTCATCCAGAACTTTTAAGGAAATAAACACAGTGTTACGTCTATTCATAAAGGACTAGAGTGCAAATAAAACAGTCTCAAAATTTGTTTACTGACAGGTCCTGAAAATTTCAAGAGACAAACACAACTAAAATATTCTTCACATTTAATCCCAATACACTTGAAGGGACTGTTTTGAATGGGCCACTAAATTTATTAACTACTGACATGTAATCTCCATGATACACTTGAAGAGTTTGCAACCTTGAGGGATTAGAATTAAGAAACCGTTGGTTTCCCCCCATTTCAACCACAGCCAGCTAATCCTCAGCATACTTTCCCTGAGAGTGCAGCAAGCCACCATTTCAATCCAATTAAGTACTTCAGAGAACCCGGTTGCTCAAGAGCAAAAACAGTCTTGAGTCTTGGTATCAAGTACGGGACAAGCTATGTACTGCTATCAGTTATTAAGGAACACGTGGGAAACAGTCAGAGACAGAGCCATAACTAAACAGTCAAAAAGTGATGAACTCAGTAACGAGCTCTTGATAAGTCACATGTTATCGATGAAAACTGTTGCAGTTGATTATAACAGAATCAGAAAACAATAACTAATCAAATTGTCATAATAGAAGCGACCCCTCATAGACCAACAAACCAACAGTCCAACAGATTTAAGTCTCTGAAATTAATAAAAACTAGTATGACAATAACTATCTTTCCGACAATTATCAAAATTTGGAACTGAGTAGTTGATGGAAAAAATCAAGGTAATAAAATGCACAAAATACATGAATCAGACCTTATGCATGTTAAAAATGTAAGTTCTGTATAATTATTTACAATACATCGAAGTGTCGTAATATCTAGTTATGAACCAAATATTATAACTTGGCTTGGCTAGTGTATTGTTACAGCTCTTAAAGATGACATAATCATATCAAAACAAAATAACAAACAAACCTTGATACATCTTCCAGCATGAAGACCTTGAGTCGCTTTAATTCTGATGGTGCCCATTTGATGAACTCCATCCGCCAATTATGTAGCACATTGACAGGTGTGACTATAAGTGCAGTTCTTAAACCCAAATCAACACCTCTCATTGCCGTATACAAGAAAGCTATGACCTAGAAGTTTTACCACAACGAGTAATCAGAACAAAATCCTCAAACAGTAAAAAGGAAAAATCAGAAAGAAAAAGTATCCTAAATAATTTTTTTTTTAAAAATGCACAGAACTAGAACAAAAAATCATTTGCCTTTAAATTTATAATAGGATATATATCTCATTTTAACTCTTTATTATTTTTTGGTCATTCTTTAGATGCTTAATTAGTGAAGAGTATTCTTTCCTACAATGAGGCTTGAAGATAGTACAAAAACTAGATGTCCAAACTGTGAATCAGTCCATCTATGATATAGTATTAGAAGTAAAGCTCCGTGGATTCCCCTGTTCAGAGAGCAGGTCCATTGGCCACTATTAGATTATATATACTTCTTATCCTACAGTTGCAATTAACTTCAAATTCTATGCAACTTCTCACCAAACACTCTTTATTTTCTTAATAGGGGTCATTGCAGAAGAAAAAAAGGCATATCAATAAGCATGCTAGTCTAAGTGCTGATTGATGGCAATGTCTCTCCTCAAAAGAGACATCTAGACCAGTGAATTGAGGACAAAAGCTGGAAGGTAACGCAGAATAATAGAGGGATATGATATATGTTATTAAAACACGATTCAAATCTGGAAATCGCATTTGTACCTTGTTCCCCTAAAGTGAGTAAGATTGTACACAGAACCACAATCTTGTGAGTTCATGATCTGGATCTGGACACTAAAATCATACAATTTTGCAATTTTTCTGATAGTCTTTTTTTTTTTTTGGCACCGGATCTGGATCAGGATTTGGCGGCTCAGATGGTTTAAAACTCCTAAAACACAGCCGCAAAGCAAGAAAAATGGTACCTAACCACCCTCTCTCTCACTACAGTTCTGTCACTCCTACAATTTTGCGATTTTGCTCTGATATTGTCTTGGCACCGGGTCTGGGTCAGGATTTTGCGGCTCAGTTGGTTTAAAACCCCTAAAACACAGCCAAAAAGCAAGAAAAATGTCACCCACCCTCTCATGTTTTGGTAGGATGCTACCCCATCTCGATCCTAGGTAACTATCCCATTCCTGGCAAGATCTTGACAATATTCAGTATGGGCCAAAAGACAGAACAAAAATGGCTAGCGAAAAAGTGGAAGGAGAAGAGTGCACAGTAGAAGAGCGGAGAGCCGCTAAAGATATTAAAATAAGTTGTATCAGTAGGGGGGTTTCTTGCACTGTTTCCAACTAAGTTCTTGCACCAGCGGTGAGGCAACAACCTCTTAGATCTAAAGAGGTTCAAATTTGCTACTGGTTGGTGTGATGAGTGCTTCATGTGTATCTGGTAGACATTTAAAAATATCATCTAACAGCTTCTCAGGAGAAACAGAATCTCCAACAGAAGTTAGTTGATCAGCTATTGCTTTTACTCAGAAGAGAAATTTAGAAACGGAGGTTTTCAAGCTTTGTGTGGCGCAACTTAATCAATAGTTTCCTAACATGAGTTCGCAAGTGTCCCAGACCACCCTGGAATGTTCAGACATTACTACATGTATGGATGGTGCTAGATATAGAGATTGAGGACTGCAACCAAGACAATCTCATCCCTCCCGAGCTAGACACACTTTAATAACATTTCCCGCATTTTGATCTTGCTGAAAGAGAAATAGCGGTGGAACAACCAGGATGTCTACAAAGTGCTGAGGCTGATAGCCCTAAATCACTGGCTCTACTTATTAACGCTAAACTAAAGTAGAAAAAATTGATCAAGTTTCTTAGAGATTGTGTGGGAAAATCTAATCGGAGTCATAGAAAGAACCGAAGACGACGACAACGCATTGTTGGCATCCATGAATCTAGTGGCAGAACATGCAGTGGAGGTATCTTCATTGATGGCAATGCAGACAGTGGAGGCAGAAAATTTCCAATGACATGGTTGCCAACGAACTAGGCTCTATATATACTATATTCGGTTTATGTGATAGAAAGAGAGAAGACAGTAAATGAAAGAAAATGACAGATTCTGGTTCTGGTAATTTGAGAGCTGGATTGATTCAATCACAGAAGACAAATCCCTGGTTTTATGAGTGAGTCAACCCCTTAAGACTCTTGAGGTTTTTCCAATTTTTGGCCTCAACATATCCACTATCATTGATGCCCATCACAGCAAAAATTGTACTTAGACATGAACCTGTGCAAAATAGAAAAGTGTGGTCGGTATATTCCAGCCGGAACAACATTCTGAACAGAATGACATTGTTGGATAATATTTGTTCAACTTAATCTAAAGCTCAATCCATAAAATACAGATTATCATGATTCATGAGTTACAAAAGGTTGTCATGATAATTTAAATAAAATACAATGACAAATGAGAAGAAAAAATAAACAAGAAAATGCATACTCAAGCAAGAACTGTACATTATCATCAATTTCACAGAAGATACGTAGATATGCAACGTATATTTTCTAAAAACAAGAAATCATAATTCAATTATACGCACATATTAAAATCTCAGAGAATGAGTGCAATACCTGAAATGTTTTACCAAGACCCATGGTATGAGCTAGAATACACCCTAGACCTTTATCTCCAGACTTAACTTTCCTGATTGACTGTATTATATTTTCCCACATGAATCTTATTCCAGCAATCTGCAGATATAAAACTGTTAAGAACGCAGGAAAAGAATTGGAAAAATTGATAGAAAGAAATAAAAAGAATAACAAACGTTTAGTGAAAGAACAAGAATAGGAGAGAATAGAGCCACTGCTCTATTTGCTGAATATTTAAAATTCTGAAGGCTCCCCCTCACCCCCATGCATCTTCCTATTTATTATATAGGATAATTCCATGTAGAAAATATCTGATAGAATATTTACTATTATCATTAAGATCAGTTCATAATCATTATTTCCCCCTCATTATTGTTTACTGTTAGAGATACATCTAGTTAGGCATGACAGCTGTATCTCTAATATTGATCATATCTTTCTTTAATTAAAGGAATAGCCACCATTTGACAATAATTTGTACTAAATACCGTATCATGGAACAATAGCGATTTGTTTAAATTACGCTTACGTACGGTGAAAATATAAAGAAAGAAAGGGAAGTTATATTTAAATCACGGAGAAAAGAAAAAGCAACAGTCCATGAGTTAAGTAACCTGATGGGTCTTCAGCTTAGCTGAAATGCTCGGTGGTATTCTAACCGCTTCTTCACCTTTTTCTCTCACAACATTGACTATATAACCTGCCAGTGCATCACCAAGAATTTCAACGCTTGCACCTTCAGATGAACTTCCATTACAGCCAGCCGAGCTTTTGTCAAATGATGAAGCAGAAAACTGTACTCTCAAAGATTCCAGGCGTTCTTGACGTTCCTACAGAAGTAGAGAGTAATGAATAACTTGGACTGGTAAATCCAGTTTTGACAAAACAAATACCTCATTGAAAATGTTACCTTTTCAATGGCTATTTTCTTTTTTGTCTCTTCTCCTAATTCAGTGTCATCAAGTATCCTCCTAATCTTTTTTTTGCGTCTTCGTTTAGTACTGGAAAAAAATGACAAGGTGTGATAAAGAATACAACTCAACCATGGAGATTATTGGTGATTTAAGTTAGTCTGTGCAAAAACAAGTTTAAATTAGCACAGCAAGAAAACATGTAAACCTCAAGATCTTATTTGCAAGATTTCATTTAAATGAGAAAGTTTCAGAATGATTCAAGAAATAAAAATATATACATGTAAGCGTCACTGTCAATCAGCCAGTATCATTAGTGCTACATATCAGCTATAAGAATGTCAAGAACCACAATTTACAAGCACTTAATAGAAAAATCATAGAACTACAAGATCATCAGCTACCTCAATATGAAAAGTACCAGGATGACGTGTAGATCATGTTTACTACGCAAAAATGTTGAAGGAATTTTATCCAAGCTATAGGAATTTGAATTAAAAGATTAACATTGGGTGCAGCAATAAATTTTCTATAACAATTACTTCACCTTATTGTAACCGGCGCTATCTCTGAATCTGAATCTGAATCTGAATCATCTGAATCGTCTGAACTATCTGAATCACTACTGCCAGAACTGGAAACGGGTATATCATCGTCGCTGATGATGATATCAGTCCGGTACTTCTTGTTATCAGCATCAAGCTCACCATCATTTGGACGCTTGGTTCCTCTCTGTTCAATAACATCACCCAATGAAGATTTGGGAGGATCTGACAAATTATCCTCTCCCACACGCGTTTCATTGTCAAGATGAAAGCTGGCATCAAAACCTTTAATTTTATCAGCCTCCATATTCAAATGTTCAACCTTGTTATTGTCATACACAACTTCCCCTTCAACTCGAGATCCTTCCTTCATATCAGGATTAAATTGATTGACGGATGAAGGCTTCTGTACATGGCTCTCCATCAACTCGATAGGTGTGCTTGTTTCTCGCTGAATTACATTTAAACGTAATCACAGGATATGCTTATGTATAAATAAATAAACCAAATTGACTCAGTCAAGAAGTTAAATAGTTTCCTATAATTTGGTGTTATGAACATCAAGACCCACTATTGATTGGTGTTTTTAACACCCAAATAATCATTTGCATGAGTGTAAAATAAAACTACAAATGACAACATCCTCCGCTAAGGACATAGAATACTATCTTACAGCTTCTGGATCAAGCAAATGGAAAATGAGAATCGAAGTCCTAAAACTCACCAGTTTACTTTTCTTTTGATGCCTCCTATGTTTCAAACGTATTTGAAGCTTCCTATCAACAATTGCATCATCCTCTTCATTGACCTGTCAGAAAAAACAGAAGAAAATATGATAAGCTTCCTAAGCATGAATTTGAAAATATACAGATATGTAAACATTAATTAACAAGGAGTGCCTCTATTTTCCATATGTATATAATACATCGGTTGGCTACAAGTTCAAACATCAGTGTGTGGTTATTGATTATGTAGATATGTTCACGCTATGCGTGATTTAATCCATGTAGCTGAGTTTACCTAGGGGAAATAGGCTTAGTTTGTTATTGTTGTTGGTTCAAATTCATAATTCAAAAGGCCAAGAGCATGTTTGGTTTAAAAATTAAAATTAGATTCATTGAAACACGTATGCTTCTCGACAGAGTTGTTTATTACCAAAAACAAGTTTTTCTTGTTTTGACCATAATGCAGTGACGGATAGAATGTGTGGCAGCTGGATCCAACCCACCTACCCCGATCAACATATATACTAGACACACAGACCATATATTATACTGTTGCAATTATAAATGAATATTATAATTGAATTAGTATATTATTTAACTATTATGTATATATACACACTATCATATATTATTTAAATAAATTTTTAAATTTTTGTCAAAAAGATTATGACCTGTGAAGCATGGGTACTTCTAAAATGGTGAATTGCCGGTACAAGGTACAATTACGGTACTCGTGATACTTCTTTTTTCTCATTATTTGGTTTTGAGTGATATTTGTAGTTTTCTCATATATCAATCTAGTATAGTTATGTATTTAATTTCTGTTATTGTATCTTAACACTGTTTTTTATTTTCTAAAAGCTTTCATAGTGATATTTTGTTGTGAATCATACATTTTATAGAAAACTCTTTTATTGACGTACCCGTACCTGTACCTTAATTTTTACCAGTACCGGTACCCGCACCGGGTACCGTACCCGTACCTATGCATCATACATTATGATAGATTTTTACTCTAATATTTATTATTTAAAAAATTATGACCCCCATTTGTTAGATCTCTGGATCTGTGGCTTTCAAAACCTCTCACTATACAAGATATAAATTTTCAAAAATCAAAACCAACTTGACAATTAAGAGGGTAAGGTAACTGAAACAAATTATGATAAATGCTTGCACCATAAAGACAGATTGGAGAACATAAGGAGCACGGGCACCTGAAGTAATAATAAGAATGGCGGCTTTTATATAGAAGACTATTGATAAAGAAGAAAAACAAAGAGCGGAAGAATTCGGAAACCTCACAAAAAATTGTGCCATAAATACTTGCAGTGAACAAGGACAGTTAAACCATGCAAATACGTAAACAAATTAATTAGTTCATTCCAAACAAGTAATCTTCAACCACGGGAAAAATATTTCCCTACTGGGTGAAGCTGGTTCCGTCTGGCCAGATTGGGAACTCCGAACGACAGCAAAGGAGATTCCAGTTATGCATCGAACAATGCACGGAACATCAAAACCATAGGACGCTAATCCACAAGGTTGTAACCAACAAAGCCACCACCAGAAACATACATCTTGTGGTGGTTGACCTGATGGGCAATATAATGAAGGATAGAGGGAGCAAAAGAATGGGCATTCTACATGGGTCTAGTGTATGACCTAATGGACCCGGCCCAAATAAGTCGGTAATGAGAATAATGAAGAAAGAGTAAATGGAAAGTTCTTCTAGCCAAGCACTGTTTAGGAAATAATGGATCAAACCCGGACCAATAATATTCAATGAATATATGCACCCATTAACTTAGTGTTCATATAGTAATGTAGATTAAAATGGGTAAAACATGGTTGAGGACAGAAGGGTACCCTATGTACCATCTTTTAGATCGCACCATGAGGATAAGGTTGACTTACGGGGATGGTATTCTTAGGGTATTGTTGAGAAACGATAGACAGGAAAAAAGAAAGTACGGAGTAGGGACAAATAGAGTAGTAGGTTATTAGGGCTTGGAGAGAAGGGATAATTAGTCATGGAAATTGGTTAGTAAAAGGAGATAATTCAATATGGTGTGGAGAAATGGAGGGGAACGTTGTGTGTATTTGAATTGTGAATGAAATGAGAAATCTTATGTGAAGGGAAACCCTTGGGGAGAATTCTATTGTCTATTTTCTGTTAATTTTTCAATAATACATTTCTATTCTTTTGATTCACTCTATCTTTCCTTCACTCCAATCTATTTCAATTCCTAACATCGGGTAATTTTAACAAATTTGTAAAAGAAGGACAAGATATGTACATATATTGTGAGACTTGTGGCATATAGTACAGTCCAATTTTCAGCTGAAGTTAATTAAAGTATGATTAAGATTCAGTTGTTTAACTATGAATTGGAATCTAGTTAACTAGTTCATCAATATAATTTTATTATTCTGGGCATTCACTTTCCTTCTTCTGTCCCTAATAAGCACTATAACTACAGAAACAGCAAAAAATGAATATGGGATATTCCACTTTGGGTTCTCATCTCATTATTAATATAGGCCAGACAGACTGCATGCGATGAATGGAGGAAAGGGTAGCTCAACTGGTTTGAACTAGTTGGGCTAAGGGTTAAAGGAGTTGGAGATCCAGGGTTCAATCCCTGGCAAAGGAGAAAAAATACTAACATTTGTCATTCAAAAAATAAAAAGGCTGCATGCGATGAAAATCATTAGTTTAATAACACTAACAAGGCTGCCGTACACTTCATCATAATCAAGGACAGTTTGGTATATTTTCAAAGACCAATATTTCAATTTATTCTCAATAGAAAACCAATAATGCAATAAGAATAGACCTTTTTAAAATGTCGAGTTTGCTCTTCAGAAAGTTCTAATTCTCTTTCATTTGCAACGGCTGCTGCAACAAATGGATCCATAGAATTGCCATCAACGTCATCAATTTCCTCCACCTAAGCAAAAAAGTTTCCCAAAAAAAGTAACTAAGATAGTGATCATTTAACACTCGAGACTTGAGAGAATATGCATGCTATATAACAAATGGCTGCCAAAATGCATTAAAACATGAACATAACTGGAAATTAAAAATGTATTGACAGAACAAACTAATAAGAAATAACATCAGCTAGCTCCAGTAATTATTTCTTCTTTCGCTAGCTTTAATTTCTTTGACATATACATCCAATAGAAAAACAGTAAACGGTCAAAAATAATTTGATACCTCATGGACTCCAGGAAATTCGAGTCCCATTAAGGCAGCTTGCTGTGGAGTACTGGCCAAGTAAACAGAAGCCCAGGTCTTACTTCCAAATGAAGCATCAATACCACTCCCATCAGAAATTATTTTATTGAATGCATCCCAGTCCCCCTCGGTTTCTTTTTTTCCAGGTTCCTGGGTTTCCGGAGAAATTTTTTTTTGGAGAAAGCCGCTAGCACCCTCTTCCAATAATTTTCCATGGCGCCTGAACCAACAACACAACTTTATATGAGTTTATATTGATTTTTGCCAGATCAAACACAAAATAAGAACCGTACCTTCTAACAGGTCTGTTTATTTGTAGATATTTCTCAGCGTCAGAAACTGATGTAGCAATTTCACTAGTTGCCTGAGACCCAACCCAATGATTCCGCTTTTTCCATGCTTCAGTGCGACAAACATTTGGAGCGTCTCTTTCAATCAACTTATAAAGGCTTGGGAGCTCAATTCCAGCCCCATCAAGTTGTTCCTATTCAATATCATATCATCAAATAGCAGAAAAAAAATATGATTGCATTTCAACAAAGGAAGAACTTATCATCTAAAGAAAACTGCAATTCATGTCAATCAAACAAAAATGCCAACACCTAGCCACATTAGGCTCTAGTGTGATTTTAAAATACACATATAAAGGGTAGGATAGTTGCACAAGATTGCGACCACTGTGTGATCTGGAGGATGGTCAAATGCTGCATGCAGCCTTAACCACATGAATGGACTGACTATTTCTGTATCTGGGACTAACTTTCCAGAATGAAGCAAAACTCTGCTGTGATAAAAAGCTAAATAACAATAAATATTATGCTGATGAAAGAATTTCAGCATGCAGCATTTCACTTTATCTCGTTCAACATCACATAATAGAAAAGGGAAAATTAGAGAGAATTGTAATCTCAGATTACAGAATTTATACACGGCTTATCCTTCACTTAGATTAGAGTATTCTACACTAACTGAACTAACTTTAGGGGAGTCTGTAACTGCCGGTATCAGCTGGAAGAGCGTTTTAACTAACTGATGCAAGGCTGGCAGAGAAGAAACTAACAACTGACCATGCTGAACTTGCTAGGTAAGCTAAAAGAGTTGAAGCTTGTAGAGCACGGTAGAAAACATTTCTATTTCTCACAAAACACAGAAGGCATAAAGCACCAGCATAAAGAACAGGGTGAGCACAAATTCACTAATTACTATAAGCAACTTAAGTTTCCAAATCATAGCACACAGCTGAACCCTTCAAATTTTTAGATTTATGGAAACATCTATTTTAAACATGGTATTTATTGCAAAATTACAAAGATGTTGATGCTCAAATTACAATCAAGTGTAAATATTTAGAGTGCTGCTACCCCCCTAAATCAAATAAAAGGTGGATCTGGCGGGTTTAAGTTCACTGCTAAAGCTCTTCCCGGTGATTTTGGTTACTCAGTTAATTTACTGCTAAAGCTTTTCAAAGACTAATTCATTATTTAAATATTACAGCCCACAAGAAGTGAAAGACAAAATCCAAATCAGTAGCATTAGAAGCAGCTCATGGCAGATGAGGCCAATTTCTAAAGACTGATAACAACGTGTAAAGCAGAAATGGGGATATCATATAGCATCGGTGTGGTGGCTGGAGCAGAGAAGTTAAGGAGTAGAGTGGTAAAAAGTTCGAGCATTTGATCCCCACTCTAATACTAACAATATTAACATTGGTTGTTTCAACAAAAAAAAAAAGTGTGCAACAGTAGAAAGACACATGACTTTTGAAGAAAACTGTATAAATCATAGCACTTATATTAAAGTTGAATATAGAATCAAACCAGTAAGTGGGAACTTTCAGTTTCAAGGTCATCCAGAACAGCTTCCCACTCGTCTTTAAAAGTAGCCATCTCATCAGCAACAGCAGTTTCCAGCTTAAAGACAAGTAAGGACAAGTGAGTCATGAGCAAAAAAACTGAAAGATGATAAAACAAAGGACAAAGAGAGAAACCAACATCATCCCCCTGTAGAGTTTGCTTCAATTCTTGTCTAACTTCACTCTCCACTTTAGCAAGAGATTCTTCTTCAAGAGTTTCTTGGGCCTCCGCAGCCTAAAAAAACATTGGAGAACCTTTGTTTGAGCTCTTAATAAATATTCAAAATTAAAAATTTTAAAAACATACATGATTAATAATTATGGATTTACATACCACAAAAAACACTGCAAATATTTAAGTAAAATGCTATTCTGAGCCATTTACTAGTTTATTCTTATACTTTACAGCTACTAGATTTTCTCGATTTTCTGGAGGAAAAAAAAAAAAGAAACAAGTTGCAAGATATTTCGGTGTAAACTCTAGAGAGTTTGTGAAAATCTGAATGACATAGTATCTGGAACAATTTTAAGTCATTTCAAAGCCCTCAAAAGGTGGAGTGAGGGGGGTGCCTCTTAGGTAATTCTACTGTAGAAGGGAGAGGAGTTATAAGGGAAATGTTAGGACTTAGAATAAAGGGAAGTTTATTAGGATTTGAGCTAAGGAGTTTGTTATGGTTGTTAGTTAATGGGGTAGTTAGATTTATCATGTATAAACAGGGAGGATAACGAATTAGAGAGGACATTATTGATATTGTAACAACAGAGAATGGGTAAGTGACTATTGTGAAGGGGAAACCATGTGAGGAGAGGTTTCTCACCTATTCTTTCCTATTTTCTTCATATAATTGTTCACCCATTTCAATTCAATTCTTGGGTCCCTACCAGACAATTTGGAAAATGGTGTGCAAGAGTCTGTTATGCATGGCTCTAACAAACAAGAAGGGTGGCAGCTAGCAATTGGAAAGAATGATATGATACAGTAATCATGAAGGTTGAAGGGGGGCTTGAACTTGAAAGGAATGAAGGGTGGTGAGTATGGGTCATTATTGGGGTTTATTTTGGTGGCTTAAGCCACAGCAAAGCAGGCACTGCATCGCCCTCTATGATGATTTTCCTTCTGTATCTGTGTATACCTTTTCTGCTATTTCTCATTGTAATCACAGCTTTGTGCTGAGTTTTCTCCTACCAATCACTGGCAACTCCACCGGACATTAGCATTGCACACAACCATGTTTGACTTGATACGGTGATGCATATAAAGTTAGATCGGCACTTCATGAATAAGAAATTGCATAATGATCTTTATATCGACACTTCATGAATAAGAAATTGCATAATGATCTTAATAAAGCTAGGCAGTAAATTTGTTTACGGCTTCAATTGGAAGATATATTCACTAAAAGAGACTTTCCAAAGAGCAATTGCATCGTCATACTTGTGAATTGGAAATGATAGAAAGGAAGGGAAGTATTGTGTTATAGAGGAATTTTTCATTATTTCGATTTGTTTGTATATTTTTATTTCCTATAATTCGTATAACTGATTTCACTCATTTCAATTATTAGGACCAATGTTGTCAGGATCGCTCATAAACTGGGGAATCACGATGCTGACCATCCATCTATGTTGCACCAAAGATCCACGGCAACATGAAAGGTAAACCAGGGGATCATGGATCATACACTTCCCCAATCCTTGCCCGTGACTGTTAATTTTCCATGAAAAGTTTTACATGTTCAATCTCAATATCAAAACAGTTTTTTATTTTTTTTTCAAAGGATCAAAACAGTTTTTTCTTTACTTTTTAGAAGTGAACAATAGAATTAATTAATGTTCATCTAACCAAATTAAATAGTCAAATTCAAAATACATCAAAATATGTTTTATTTTTTAAATTATAAATTAATTTGTTATACATAACAGAGTTATTAACCCAGATAGCGGAGCGGAGCGGAGCGGTCAACCCTAAAAATGGGATAGCAGATAGCAGCATAACTTTTTGGACTAATTATATAAATAATCTACCTATATATTTAACGTAGATTAAATAACTTTTTGGACTAATTATATGAATAATCTACATATATTAATCCCACAATCAATATATTTTAAAAGAAAGGACAAAAAACAATGATATGAAAGAAAAAACAACCTGAAATCGAATAGAAAAATAGTGATTAGAAAAGAACAGGATAGAGAACAAAATAGAAAAGTAGGAACCAGAAGTAGAGAAGAAGAAGAAGAATAGAAGAAGAATGGAGAGAAGCTTGAAGCAGTTGAGGCGGAGAAGTTAGGGCAAGAGAAGCAGCAAGCGAAAAACGCGAGAAGCAGCGAACAGAAGAAACGCGATGGAGAAAAGTGAAAATGCGAATGAGATAGGAGAAAACAAAAACGACTATAATAAACTTTCCAATTTTAAAACTTTTTAAGGGTAAAAAGATCTTTTTGCGCTCCAAAAAAGCCCTAAAAACAGGAAACTGCTCCGGGCCAGGAAGCGCTCCGCTCCCACAACCCACTATCCCAACTTTCCCGACCGCTATCCAAAACTGGGATGTGCGCCGCTCCTCTGTAGCGGAGGGTTTCCGCACCGGGAGAGAATCCCGGGAGCAGCCGCTATTAATAACTGTGATATATAATTATTACTATAAGTGACAAAATTGTATAAATTTCTTCAAATTATTCTATTATTATTTTTATACGCATTTTATATATATTCTGCAATATTAATAGGGTAAATGTTTCCTAATGGATTGTCAGATTTTTAAATAACATTAATTTTTAGCTCCACTTCAAGGTATATCTGACCCTCAAAATGAAAATGAGTTGTTGATTTCCACCGTGCTACCTTAAGGAGGAATGTGATTGAGAGGATAGCGATGGCTGATATAGTTTTTAATATGTGGATCTGTTTAAGTTTTAACCAATAAAAAAAGTGTGTTGCTAGCATTCCTTTGCAATGTTTGCTAAAACTCCATTGGGTCTTTGAAATCTTAGGTCATTTTTTAAGTGTATTTTATGAAAATTAAAACAGAAAACACTTAAAAGTAAACAGGGCCTTATAAACCCATGAATTTATTTCAAATTCTATAAACTAATATGTTATAAATCCAAACTACAAAATCATGATTATAAAAGTTTGAAAAAAGTATTAAGTTGCTATAAAATCATGATTATAAAAGTCTGAAAAAAGTATTAAGTTGTTATGTTCGTGCATGTTCTTTTAAAATTCACACAAGACTTCACGCAAGTGTGATTAGTTGTCCCTAAAATAAAATAAAAAATTAATGATTTGTAAGTTTCCCTAAACTAGAGATGATTGCAATGCAGCATTTATTGTAAAAATGGGAAAGAAATTGTAACCAATTATACTCGAACATTAGGCCAACACACAACTTAGGATACAGAACATTACCAATGAAAAAGATAGAGAAAGGCTTAAAAAGTGTGCATTTGTGTGAAGTGTCCAGCTAGTAACATGACATCACATGTTCTTATAATGTAATGAATTGTAATACCTTACTCTCCACTTCCAACAGCTCAGAAATAAGGTCTTCTATTTCCGCCTCAGTTAGAGGTTCCTGCATGGTATAAAATATGGAAAATAAGAAACATTAAAATTTACAACAGGAAAGAAAACACAAACAGCCAGGTTTCTACATGAGCATACCAAATTTTGTCATCAAAAAGTTTAGAGAAAAACAAGAGGAAACATATATGTGACTGACCTCAAGATGCAGTTCGTCATCGACTTCAGAAGGCAGAGATCCCTCGTTTTCTGAATCGTCATTTACAGAACCATCAGAAGCACTCTCAACATCTATCACTTCATCTTCAGTAATTCCCTCCATTTCTGGTAAAAGCTACTGAATACGAGAAACAAACATACAAGTTTACATGTTAAATTGAATGGCCCCCCAAAAGTTAATTTACAGACTAGAGCTTGTCAACCAAAAAAAATTACAAAGTAGAAGATACACAAACTTGAAATCCCAATTTTAAATTTTAGAAATTAATATGATGCAAACTGCACACCATATCTTGGGATAAATAGTCAAGTGAATAATTCATCCACTTCTTAAAATTCAAAAAAGTCGTGAATTGGGCAGAAAAAGATACCAACCCCAGAGTACAACAAACATTCAAGCAGCGCAAAAACAAGGTCTTATATTAGGAATTAGATAGATTATACAGCCACGCACATTTTTTTAAACGCAACGCAAAGAAGCCTGATCTCCACGACGCAGTCTCATCAAAACAAACAAGCAATATCTAGGACTCAGAATGAAAGGGCAATCAAGTATCAACTAGTAATAAAATGATACTTAATGACAATCAAGACATGCCGCAAACAGTTGTTGCGAAATCCAACTTAATAGGGGCCACCCTTACGGTCTATTATCGAACCACATTGCACTTTCATTGCTGCAATACAGTGCCGTTAGTGTGCTGGGTTTCCGCGTGGGTTTAGTCTCACATCACCTAGAGATATTGAATTTCTAGTGCTTATAAAGCTTAGACAGTTCGCGCCCTCCCTACAAACCAATTTCGCGGGGTAAATTTAGGCTATGTTTGGATTGCCGATATAAGTGGAATGAGTAGAATAATAATATACAATGGTTTAATGCTTAACATTCCTTTTTCAAAATCTAACTACACTATTTCACTTAATACCGCTGACCCAAACATACCCTTGCCCTAAGCTCGAATTCTAAGAGTAATTATACAAAGCAAAAAATACTAATCGAGTAAAATTGAATAAAATCATGATAAGAGAGACCCATAGACTGGAACTCAAAACAACACTAACAAGCAAAAATAAAGAAGCAAGTGAATGGTGAATGATAAACTACTATAATAAATATGTTGTAATGTTAATCGCATTGCTAAAACGTGATTACGTGATGTTTTGCACTTTACAGTGGCCGGGAGCAAAAAATTGCGCTGGAATCGCATCCTTGCGCGCTACAGAATATGGAAATCAAAATCTGAAGAAATGTAAATAAGAATAGAAAAAAATGGATGATTTTCTCACTGTTTATGGCGGAGGACGATCAAGTCTGTAAGCGTTTTCCGGCGGGTGAGTTCGGTGCAATCAAATTTGATTCTGCTACATGAGAAATGAACAAGGTTGAGTTTTTTTATTTTAGGGTTTTAAATTTGTATGTGAGAAAAAATATGTAGTAAATATTTTATTTTTTTTTAGAAAATATATTAAAGATATTTTCATTTTAATTTTGTTATAAAGCACGGTGAAAAAGAAAAGATGCATAAAAGTGGGGACTAGGCAAAGACCCACTTCAAAATGAGAGAATCTTGAAAAGAAGAAAAAAAAATAAAGTAAATTGAGGATATTTTTTACAAGAATTTAATTGTCAACATTGAGAGTGTAAAGATTTTTTACAATGTTATTTAATCATAGTCACTCATTTATTTAAAAGGTTTGACTTTTGTTTTAATCACATGAAAAGTAATAGCAACGAAGGGTTGTGATAAAACATTTTTTTACTGATAGTGCATAACAATTAATTTTTTTTATAAAATTATTTTTTAATGGTTAAAAATAAGTCAAAGATAAAAAATAAAATGCGCAAGAGAATTAGTTGTGAGAACTATATTAATAAAACAAAATTGTACAACAAATATCTTTTCGAAATATATATATATATATATATATATATATATATATATATATATATATATATATATATATATATATATATATATATATATATATATATATAGTCATATTTACAATCATTTTGAGACAAAGGGTTTGCATGTTTCTTACCTGCCAAGGAACGGTTTTATGGTCGGAGAAAAGCATTCATCATCGATGAGAATGTGTTTTGATTCATAACTTTTGGTATTCATGTCAAATTTAATTGCTCTTAAAACTAAATAAAATTCAGCATGGATGAAGTCTTTCAAACTCAAAGATTCAGCAAATGCTATAATAAGGGATAGAAAAGTTTACCTTATACCCTTACAATTATACTCATACCCCTACACTAAAAAAATTTGGACCAAAATACCCTCATATAAATAGTTATAATTTTAGAAATTCTGCTTTTCATTTTCATTTCCGTCTGAAGTCTTCTAAGGGACAGTTTTTGCTGCTATATACCATAACTCTTATCACAAGTCTTCCGGTTCATAAAGTGTATAGCGAAGGTGTTAGAGTGAGTCTTTCGGTTCTGTTTTCGTACCGGAAGACATTGAAGAAGTCTTCCGGTATTCTGGTTTTTTTAGTTTACTTACTGGAAGTATTAATGCAAGTCTTCCGGTATTCTGGTTTTTTTTGTGTATTTACCGAAAGTGTTAATGCAAGTCTTCCGGTTCGTTTACGTTAAAATTCATAACGGAACTCATGGTTGAAATGTTCATATTCAGTTTTTTTTACTTTTTATTATTTTTTTATGTTTTTATTTTGGCAGTGGGGCGCACGCGAGGCAAGGATGGTATGATCCCTGATCGCGGTCTAGGACGGGGCGAATCATCGAGAATGGCTGAGGAAGAGAATATTAGTGCATCAGCAATATAGCCTGTTGGATATCTAGGAGGATTGTATGATACCTCTCTTTTAGTTAAGTACGAACATCATATAGTTAGACATATATGGTTCGATGAGGTAAGTAAACGACAATTATTTGATATTGAATAAACTCTGAATTTTTAATGTTGTATTTTATAATATATTTACTTTTAATTATTTTCAGGTGAGAGGTACGAAGAAAGAGTTTAAGGTAGCAGGACATAGGTTGAAGTTGATTAAGAGGGTTCGGTTGCAGCTTCCCAGAGAGATGGAGGATTGGGTATCTAGGTTTGGTCTATCTTCACTCTAGAGAACCAATTTGACGAAGATAGATACGAACCTGGTTTCGCATTTACAGAGAGATGGCATCTAGAGACATCTTCATTTCACATGTCGTTTGGTGAGATAACGATTACTCTGGATGACGTCTCTTGTCTGCTTCACTTGCCTATCAAGGGAGTCTTCCGGAGCCCTCAAGATATCAGTGAAGGGCTTGTTGTTAAGTGGGTTATTGATTACTTAGGAGTGTCATAGAGAGTGGCACAACAACAAGTACATGACTGCAGGGGTTCTTACTATAATTTGGAGTGGTTATATGATTGATTTGTATAGCATAAAGTTGTTTCTAGATGAGCATATGCGACTAGAGCTTATTTGTTGATGTTAGTGGGTTCCACGATTTTTGCGGACAAGACCTTTACGCTTGTCGAGGCACGATACCTCTCACTATTTATGGACTTTGAGGGCTTATCAGGATACAGTTGGGGAGCGGCTGTGTTGGTTACCCTTTATAGATCTTGGAGATGCTTCCATGTTCAGTTGTAAGCAGCTCAGTGGTTATCCGACTCTCCTACAGGTATTTATTTTAATTTTTTTGTTTTAATTGATTTTATTTTGTATAATAATTTTATTTATCTAGTTTATTATGTTATAATTAATTATTTTAAATTAACTAATAGTATTAATTTTGTAACAATGTTGGATTCATGAGAATTTTCTAAAACTTGGAGAAAAAAAAGGAGAGAATTGGATACCAGCTAATAATGTTGGTCTCCCTCAAGCGATGAGATGGTCTTATCCTGAAGGTGGATGACTTGCGACCTATTCTGGACGAGCTGACACCTACCGATGTCATATGGCGCCCATTTGAGGATCATAGAGAATGGTGTCAGTTTGATGAGTTATGTCTATACAGGGGGTGTCTAAGGTGGGGTGACACTGTTTTTCCATACTTGTCTAACAAATGTATGCGTCAGTTTGGATACAGGTAGTATGTTCCACCTCCACCTCTTGATTATACGATGGTTGGTGATATTGATGTTGGGTGGATTAGTTACCATCAGAGCATTGGGGATGTGATTCTTCGCACAACACTGACCACCACGTCATATAAGATAGATGATGGATATCTTCAGTGGTATTATCCTATTTCGCATCCTCGTCTAATACTGCCCCATCGTGATACGCCAAGAGAGGTGTCAGTTTCTGTTTATGATGCAGGACCGTCTGATCCTAGTTGGGCTCGTGTTTCTTCATTGATTCATTGTTATCTTTAACAGGTTGGTGCTGAAGAGGATGATCCACAGTTTGTTGAGTTGCTGGAAGCTTTACGTACTGCTCGTTCACATTGACTTATATTTATGTTTATTTTATGTGTTAACTTTTAGACTTATTGACTTATGTTTATGCTTATGTATTAATTTTTAGACTCACTTCACCTAGTTGGGTTATGTTTATGTGTTAACTTGTAAACTTATGTTCAGTTTTGAATCCAGTGATGTGTTATTGAAATTAAAAATGAATAACATAATTCGTGATTCATGTTTTGAATTTAAAATGAATAACATAATTCATAATTCGTGTTTTGAAATTAAAAATGAATAACATAATTTATAATTAATAATGCGTTGGTAATATAGGCGTAAGTTGTTGTCAACGTTGTAGACGTCCTGCAAATCCTAGCATCCAAGATGTTGTTGTTGGAGAACGAAACTTCTTCCAATCTACTGTCATTGGTGGCAATGGAAACCCTTCTTTCATGTTTACCTGAATACAAAAAAATCAAAATGTTAAGTAAAAATAACTAAAGAATTAGGTTAGTCACATTAACCAAAAATAACTAAGTACCTAAACCCAATGATCTGTGTTTACAAAACCAATGCAGTAAAAGGATACATTTGGTGAAAATGAAGTTGTCATAGGGAAGAAAGTCCAGCATTCAAATCCTAAACATACAAGTACAACATTACAACGAATCGCTATCAAGTAACCTATATCTGGTAGAGTCAACCATTTATGTGGTGGTTGAGGACCAAA